CCCCCCCGGCATACAAAACCAATAAACCTAAACCTAAACCTCTTTCTCTCTCCCTTTTTTCCCTTTCTTTTGGTAAGTAGGTGACATGATTATGAATTAGATAAGAAAGAAAGAAAAAAATTCTCAACAAAGGGTGATATGATTAAAAGTCAAAATGAATGACTGAAATAAGAGAAGGGGGAATATTTGGGTACATATTCTTCACATTATAAAGGGAAAACATGGAACAATTGAACAATGATGGATTATAATTGAATGCAAGTGTTTTATTTAATACATAAGTAGATGGAATGTAAGGATTGGGATGAACTTGCTTACTATTTATGACACTCAAGTTCACACATTGATCTGATGTTTTTGTAAAGAATAAAAATAAAAAACTGGGGGGGGGGGAATGTTTCTCCATTGTTTCATGCTTTCATAAAAGCCAAAAAAATCTTCCCTTCAAAGGGGAATATTTGTTGAAATGAGGGGTCCTTCTCTGAGCCTCTTTGTTTTCTTGCAGACGTTTCATTACCAAACTAGGTAACATCATCAGTGCAACGAAGTCTGCAAGAAAACAAGCTGAGAAAGCCCCTTTTTTTGCAGTGGAAAAGCTTAAATTCTCTTCTGCACTTGCCCCAATTAAATTTGGGAGAACCTGACCTGCACAAGAAAACATGCTTAGAAAGTGAAAAGAATCAAATCAATCATGCAGGTCATGATTGTTCTAAAGATGCTTTTTTTCAAACTGGACTGTTTGTTTGGTTGGTTGGTTTTTAAATGTTTCATTTCCCATCCAAGAAGAATCTTGATTCCCCACCAGTCAAGTTAAAATGGAAGAGGCTTCTTTGATAAGAAGCGAAACGTTATCAAAGGGGGGAAAAACCAGGAAATATAGTATAGCCCAGTGATTTTCGGTCTTCCGGATGGCTGGGGGAGAGTGTTTTCGCCCTCCGAAGGCTTCAGGAAAGCCTCCGAAGCCTGAGGAGGTGGGGGAAACTCCTCCCCTCATGAGGGGTCAGGCACGCATGCATGCGTGGGGCGGGAGATCACACATGCTTGCGCAGGTGAGTGGGGTGCATTAAATTGTGGGTGTGTGCGCGCGCAATTTTGGCACCCTTTTACAAGGTTTGCCATCACTGATATAGCCTTTATTGTCATCGTACATCGTGTATATAATGAAATTTGTTTTAGCCTCACTGGTGCAGTCCGTGACAAAAACTACAAACAACATAAATAGTATAAAGGATAATCCCTATGCAAGTAATTGGAAAAGGAAAGAAAAACTAGTCATACGTTTCCGCGTGTGCGTGGAGTGATTGTGGTTGTGTTTAAAGAGTCCGACAGCCCAAGGATAGAAACTATTTTTAAACCTATTTGTTTGGCTGGCTATCCTTCGATGTCTTCTGCAAAGTGCGAAGAGACACTGACCAGGGTGTGAATCACCTCTGAGTATCTTCCTTATTCTGCTAAAGCAGTGAGACCTGGAGATGTCACCCAGTGGTGTTAAGAAGGTAACCAATGGTTTCTTGTGCTGAATTGATCCCTCTCTGTCGTGTCTTCCTGTCCGCAGCAGTTAACCGAGTGTACCATACTGTAATGCGGTATGTGAGGACACTTTCTATCGTGTTCCATCTGATTTTTTCGCAGGACGTTCCAGTTGTCCAGTTGTCTTTTGGAAAAAGCACCTCTGAGACAAACTTTACTTAGGCTTTTTTTTTTTCTCCTAACAATGGCCTTTTTTAAAAACTAGAAACGAGGTTTCTAGTTTAGTTCGAAAGAAGACTTGGGTAAAAAGATAATTTAGTCCAAAGTTAAAGATCCAATTGAGAAACATAAATTATTTTTCGGAGTATAAGATGCACCCCCCCCCAAAAAAGAGGGTGAAAATCTGAGTGCGTCTTATACACTGAATACAGCATTTTTGGCCTCCAAAACCTTACCCCCTTCCCAAAAATGGGCGTGGAGGGGGTTTGGGAGGCCTGCAGAGTGCAAAACCTTTTTTTTTAATTTACCTCTTCAAAATCTTGGTGCGTCTTATACTCCGGTGCATCTTATACTCCGAAAAATACGGTACTTATATCTAACATACAAAACATTCTCTATATAAAGTTTTTTTCCCCATTGGTTCTACTGAAGGAAACATGGAAAAGTATCAAGAGGTATAAAAGTTATCCCTAACCAAGGAAAGGAAATCTTTCTAAATCTGCCAGCAGGTGGGCTGGCTTGCTGCAAAGAGATTGCAGCACCAGAGATCAAAGTTTGGCCTATATTTGGAAAAGATTTTTTACCTGGCTGCATTCGATCCTTGGCGTACCAGATGGCAAAGCCATCTCCATTGAGGTTTTTTTTCCCTTGCCCGTGGATTTTGAAATGCACCTGCATCTCCCAGTCTCTCAAGTAACAAGGCTGTGGAAAACAAAAAGAAGCAAATTAGAATGGAGGCAGAACCATTAAAAACAGAATAACAGTATTGGAAGGGGCCTTGGAGGTCTTCTAGTTCAACCCCCTGCTCAAGCAGGAGGCCCTATACCAGTGATGGGCAACCTTTTCGGCACCAAGTGCCAAAAAGGGAGTGCGTGCATGTGCTCGTCTGGGCCACAACACGGAGGAGCAGCTGCCCAGGGGGCATGCACATGCCCAAAAATGAACTTCCAGTTTCCAGCATGTGCACGCACACCAGCCACTTAATATTCCACTTGATGGCGCGTATGTGCGCACGATGATCAGCTGCCAGGGCACATGCTCACGCAAGAAAATGGAAGACCAGTTCCTGCAGTTTCCAGCACTGCCGCATGCACGAAGGCCATCTGATCATCGCGCATGCATGCATGCCAGAAACCCAAAAGAGGAAGGGGTTGTTAAGGGAATCATTGCAGTTGATAAGTTAGTAACCCGGTTGTTAAGTGAAACCAGCTTCCCCATTGGCTTTGCTTGTCAGAAGGTCACAAAAGGGGGAATCCCACAATCTTGGGACACAGCAACAGTTATAAATATGAACCAGTTGCCAAGCCTGTGAATTTTGAACACATGCAGCAAAGGTCGTAACTGTGAAAAACAATCATAAGTCACATTTTTCCATGCCGATGTAACTTTGAACAGTCCCTGCAGGAATTCACTTAACAACTGTGGGAAGGAAGGTTGCAAAATGGGGCAAAAAACTCAGTTAACAAATGTCTCACTTAGGACCCAGTAGTGGTCATAAGTTTAGGACTACCCGTAGATAATTGCCACTGAACGAAAAAAAGCTCCCAAGTGGAACATCGCTGACTTCTAATTGCTTTGAAGTTGTCTGGGCATCACAAAAAGTGAACAAAAAAAGTTGGGTATCTATGAAGATTCTCAGTCATCCAGGTCATGGTTGTCCCAAAGGTGTTTTTTTCAAAAGGTTGCTTTTCCTTGAAGAATTTTCACCTCATCCAAGAAGCTTCATCAGTTCTGACAGAATGGTTGTGGGTGAGTGGAAGGATTCGTTCGGGGGGGCGGGGTGGTGAGGAAATCAGAAGGTGTTGTGGCTACAGAGTCGGACAGTGAAGAGGTTGGGGAGGAACACGGGCCAGTCCTGGAGTCTGGGGAAGGCTCTGATGAGGGCTCTGTGTCGGAGGCAGAGAGGGGGCCAGAGCCGTCTGACAGTTATCCGCTGCCTTCGGAGTCCGACATCAGTGAGGCAGATGAACAGCTGGAGCCTGTTCCCAATGTGTGGATGCACAGAGTTGCCAGACAAAGGGAACAGCTAAAGAACAGGGGTCAACCTGGGAGTAAGGCTAAAGGTGGATGATGAATGGCCCCTCCCAGAGGAAATAAAAGAGGAGCAAAAGGGGAGTGGAGTTTGCAGGAGACCATTAGTTCGTTTAATTGGTTTGTGACTCTCGGAGACACTTTGCCAAGTTTTGCAATCTCGGCCTGACAGCTCTCCAAGCCAGATAAGGTCTGTGACTATAAATCCTCCCTTGAAAGACTTTGCCAAATGGGCAGAATTCACAGTCAATTAATAAAAGGGGTTTTTGTTGGGACAAGGAGTTTGCTTCAGGCTCTTCGGAAGCCTCAGTCAGAACAGAAGAATCATAAGTCCAGATAAAGCCTCAAGTGGCCTCAACGGCTCTCAGAGAGCCGAACAGGTGAGACGACCCTACGACCACCATCCTGCCAGAACCGAGGAAGCTTCTTGGATGAGAAGCGAAAAGTCTTTAAGGAAAAAAAAAAGAAAGTCCAATTGCCTTTTGATAAAGCCCCTTTGAGAGAAACGATTGATGCCTTCATTTCATTTATTCATCTCCTCCTCCATTTTTTTTTTGTCTTCAGAAACACAGAAGACAATCTTTTAGCTACAGTCAAAAACATTTACCAGACGCTTCCTTTATTTTTAAGAGCTTGCAAATATTAGAAGCTGAAGGGGGCAACTGTTTTTGCAACCTTAGCAGTGCCAAAGGACAACCCACACACAACCTCAGCAGCGGCACTCTCCCAATTCCTTGTGCCAACACTCCACATATTCCCCTTGTAGCCCGAGCTATATTTAGGACCAAGAAAGACAGTAATTAATCCCAACATGCATGATTAAACTACAGAGAACAGCCAGAACTGATCCAGATAGCAAACAACCCGATAAAGATCAGCAAATTCTCTCAAGTGTAAAAGCTGCAGAATCAGACAAGCGGATATTATACTCCACTTGAAAAAGCTTATGTTTTTTGTAACCACATTATGCCTTATCTGCGATAAAAAGATTAAAATGCTCTGAGATTTGAGAGCTGAAATCTCAGCAGCAGTCAAAATGGGAAGCATTCATACCAGCTCTGCTTTCTACAGAAAAAGAAATTAAGATTGGTGCCATCTTTGTTCTGGTGGAAACTTCATCACTGGAGGCTTTCAAGAAGAGACTGGACTGCCATCAGTCAGAAATGATGTAGGGCAGTGATGGCAAACTGTCATGTGAAAATGGCCACGCTCCGGAAAAGCTAAATTTCTGGGTTTTAGTGTGCATGCACACCCAATAATCAGCTGGTCAGTGAAAATGTGCATGCTGGTTTTTGGAACTGCCGTGCACGCAAAGGGATCGCGCTCTGGGAAAACCAAACTTTGGGTTCTAGTGCGCAACGCAAATCTCAATCAGTTGGCTAGCACGCATGTGCGCACCGGTTTTTGGCACTCCCATGTTCAGCTGATCGTCATGCATGCATGCACCCCAGAAACCCGGAAGACAAACAGGGATTCGAACCGTCGAAATGCCAACCCTTCTGATCGACAAACTCAGCATCTAAGCCACGGAGCCACTGCATCCTATGTCATCTTAAAATACAACTTGACTAAAATCCTTCTACGCACATAACTTCCATTGGGAAATAAGTTTGAATCAGGACTTCCAAATTCTCCTTTTAAATGTTTAGAGACAAGAATGTGGATATGGATGTCCAATTGAAATTAGTTTCATTGTTCAGGCAAATTCACTAACAAAAATAGAAACTATGAAATGGAAAATAACATTGTTCTCCAATATAGAATAGAGGAGAGGGGAGGGGAGGGGAGGGGAGGGGAGGGGAGAAGAGAAGAGAAGAGAAGAGAAGAGAAAAGAAGAGAAGAGAAGAGAAGAGAAGAGAAGAGAAGAGAAAGAAGAGTATAAGGAATAAAATACTTTATTGCTCAAGTGTGATTGGACACACAAGGAATTTGTCTTTGGGGCCTATGCTCTCAGTGTAGATAAGGAGAATAAATGCATTCATCAATAATAAAAAGATACAACACAGTGATACTCAAGGTTATTAATAAGCTATCAAATCATACTAGGAAACAAATAAAAACAATATAAATTGAAAGTTACAAGCAACATGGTTATAGTCAAAAGGGGGAAGAGATAGACACTAGGAAGGGAGAGAAGAATAATAGTAATACACTCTTAGTAAATTGAGTGTTTTGGGAATTTAGCAGAGTGATGGTGTTTGGGAAAAAAAACTGTCCTTGTGTTCAGTTGTTCTAGTGTGCAGTGTCCTATAGCATCATTTTGAGAGCAGAAGTTGAAACAATTTATGTCCAGGATGTGAGGGGTCTGTAGATATTTTCACAGCCCTCTTTTTGACTCATTTTTCATACAAGTTATCCTATGCTAAATTCTCAAATCCTAGGAAATTGTCATTTTAAAAAGAAAACTTTGTTGCTTTGGTGATCTTAGAAAAAGTCCTATTCGTTGCAGTAAAATTCACTTTTCTCCAAGATAAAGGAAATGTTGAAATTTGCAAAATGCAACTTGTTTGCAGTACACCCCAAAGTATCTTATTGGGAAAACACTGATGGGCTTGAAACAAAGTGAGTGTAAACTGATACTTGTGTTCCAAGAAATGATGAGTTTGATAGCACCAACTAAACTTTTATGAAAGGCAAAAGGTTTCTTGAGCTGCAGCTCATTCGTCAAATGCATGGAATGATGACGTGCATGATGGCAAACCACAGGTGGCCCACGGAGCCATTTGGTAGGGCACGCAAGTTGTTGCCCTTGTCAGCTCCAGCGCTTCTGACTTCAGCCTTCTTTTGAGGCCATTCGGGAACGGACTTCCGGTTTGCTCGTAGGGCCATTTTTTGCCCTCCAGAGCCTTCAGGAGCCTTCAGGAGGGCCGTAGGGTCAGATTTTCGTGCTCCGGAGGCTTCAGGGAAACTCCTGAAGCCTTCAGAGGGCCTCCGGGGTGGGGTGGGGGAGGCTGTTTTCATCCTCCCCAGGCTCATAGAAAGCCTCTGGAGCCTGGGGGGGGGGGGCAAAAGAAGCACGCCAAAAGTGGGGTTTGTGTGTGTGCTGGTCACACGCGAATGCGTGCTGAGTCACACGCATAGCATTGTGGGTGTGGCACGCCCATGCACGAACCCCCCCCCCCCGCGCTCCATATTCGGGGAATCTGATTCACTTAACAACCATGTTACTAACTTAACAACAGCAGTGATTCCCTTAACAACCGTGCAAGAAAGTTCGTAAAATGGGGGGGGGGGACTCACTTAACAAATGTCGCACTTAACAGAAATTTTAGCTTCAATTGTCATTGTTAAGTCAAGGACTACTTGGTTTTGCAACCAAACAAAACAAACACAGACTTCAACAGATAATGAGAACTGTAGAAATCACTACCAACCTGCCTTCCATTGAGGACCTGTACACTGCATGAGTCAAAAAGAGAGCTGTGAAAATATCTACAGATAATATCTCACATCCTGGATATAAATTGTTTCGACAGCGCAACACAGCCCTTTGCCCCTGAGGCTGTGCCCGGCTCTTCGGGTGCCCGCTCGCAAGAGAGCGGCCACCCAGCAACCCCAAACCAATAAGCCCCCCCCCAATAATAAGACCCAAGCAAAATTTGGGGGGGTCAAAAGAAAATAAGACCCTGTCTTATTTTCGGGGAAACATGGTATTCTTATTCTATTCTATATATTCTTCCTTTCTATTTCTATTTTTATTTGTATTCTATTCTATTCATATATTTTAACCTAAGCAACTTTACAATGAGCAGTTGGGAAATTCTGGGAGTTGAAGTCCACACATCATAAAGTTGGGAAACAGCCATCTTTAAACGATGAATAGAATCTGCCCAAAGCACCTTCTGCCAAGGCTGAGCAACATTGGCTGACCTGAAGGATGCTTTCACAAAGGATGGCGTGTGAAACCAACTCTCGTTCGTTTCCAAACCATGGCTAAATAAATTCCGGCTTAACGCAATATGCAAAATCCAGTATCAGACCACACCTTCTGACTGGGCCGGTTAAATCACCTTTTGCAAGCTTTGTTCCCCAAGGACTTTTTGTTATTTATTGCTTCACCCTTGCCTCCTTTTCCTACAGGCAGGATAACATCAATGGGGAAAGTACCTACCAATTATCCCGGCCCTAATGAAGTCCCAGAGCCCACCCTCAAGCAATTAAACCTTACCACTCTATTCCAGACAGCGCCCTGCTTGCTTTGGATATCTGGAGTGAGGCGAACAAACTGAGTCATCACCATCGCATTGCCTGCAAGTTCCCACAGTGATGAGCTGCCGGATCCCACACCTGAAAAACAAAGAACATTAAGGACCGATTGGTGTGGCTAGGTCAAAACTACTTCCCAACACCGGCTGACGTCAAGAGGTGGAGCTGTGCCTTTCGACCAAAACTGCCGTGATGAAGGACGTGGTCAGTTAGGAAACATACACTGGCCTAGAAGGCAAAATTAAACCTCTTGGGGAAAGTTCAGGAAGCCAAAGGTCAGGCTGTAAAGAAAGCCCATGTTGCAAGACTGGTTCTTTGGGTTTGAGGTGTGCCAGCTCTCTTTCAGGGGTCAGCCACCTTAAACACTCAAAGAACCATTTGGATCTGTTTCCCACAGAAAACAAAACACTGGGAGCCACAAAACCTACCGGGGGTCAAAAAGCTCAATAAATTGCGTGCTGGTGGGCGTTGCACATTGGCGGTTGTGGCGCATATTTTGAGCATCAGGGAGCCGCAGCAGAGGAACGAAAGAGCCACCTGCGGCTCCAGAGCCGCAGGTTGCCGACCCCTGCTCTATTTCCTTGGGTTTCGTTTAAAAGCCTGTCTTTCCAAAGCTAGGTGAATAACAAAAGTGGAGTTCTGGAGGCATTCTGGCCCCTCACAATTCACACAATGCTTCGCTGTGTGTTGCAACACACCGTAGCTAAGCCTGAAATTGGAAGCCGAAGCCACGATGCCAAGCTGACCCGAGTTTTCAATGGGAGAAGCCAACCGTGGAGGATAACCCCCTGCGCTGATGGACTTTAAAAACACCACTCGAAATGCAACAGGAAACAGCCCCTCTGCACTCGCCCACGTCCAGTCTGCACCCGAAATCCCAGGAGGTGCACCCCCTATTGTGCTGCTTTTCTCGCCTCCAGCCTCCCAGCTTGGTTTCGGCCCAGTGTTGGAAGAAATATCCAGGTGCAGGTCCAAGCCGGGAAAAAGGCACTGGAAATAAAATGGTGGGTAGGGGCTGTTTGGAAGGAAAGGTTCCCTTTATTGATGAAGCAGAACCATTAACGTGATTCTGGGACAGCTGACCAAATGGAGTTTAGAGTGAGTGGGGTTTTATACCTTTTGGATTCCTATGGGGTCATGTAGGGATCATGGCTGGCTCTATAGGCGAAAAGGGGAAAATGCAAATCCTTAGGTGTTTGTCAGAGCTAATTTGTCGACCTTTCCCTTGCCTAACTGTATTGCTTATCTGGAGTCTCTGGCTGACCCAGTCTTTCTGAATGGATTCTGCATTTCTATAAGCCCTCAGTTTCTGTTTGGGGCAGGGGAAACAGGGGCTGGTTTCAGCTTCCCTTAAGGTTTTTTCCCCCTCTTTCTCCTTACCTTTTTAAGGTAAAGGTAAAAGGTAAAGGGTCCCCTCACACATATGTGCTAGTCGTTCCTGACTCTAGGGGGCGGTGTTTATCTCTTTTTCAAAGCTGAAGAGCCAGTGCTGTCCAAAGGCGTCTCCGTGGTCATATAGCCGGCATGATTCAACACTGAAGGCACACGGAACGCTGTTACATTCCCACCAAAAGTGGTTCCTATTTTTCTACTTGCATTTTTTACGTGCTTTCGAACTGCTAGGTTGGCATTTGAACCACTGACCTTTCTGCTCGACAAGCTCAGCGTCTTAGCCACTGAGCCTCCTTGTTAATATTCCCCAAAATATTTTATTCTTCAGGGGGGTGGGAATTGTCTTCCCACACCAAGAGGGTCTATTTCATAAATTCCCCCCCACCTTTGAAACCTGGATGAACTACAGAGCTTGCATCCACCTGGCCTCCCAGCCCACAGGTGGGAAATGCAACCACTTTCCCACTTTGCTAGCAACACCAGCACGGAAATCCCACCCAGCTTTTATTGTATTTTCCCCTTGCACCCAACAACAGCCCTCCTGGGCCCAGCCCATTTCAGTTACTAACACCCCCCCCCAACCTATGCAACTCTACCGCTTCTTTGCATGCTGCATGCTGCAAAAAACAATGCATGCAGCATTGCAACCCTCCCAACCCCCCACGCCCCCATGCATCTAAGAAAGCAACTCTAGGGGGAAGTCCAGGCAGAAATGCAACAGGTGGAGCCTCTCCAAGGCGGGGGGAAAAATCCTGCCTTGGGCAGAGGCTGCACCGGACGGATTTCCACCTAGCCCGCCCAATGCAATCGCGAAGGAACGGAAGGAGAAGGTGCTGCACCCTGGTAAGGCATAGTAAGCGAGTGCTCCCGCTTCAGGTACTCCTCCATCTGCTCCGCCCCGGCTTCCCAGGCCAGCAGCGGCAGCCAGAGCAGCAGCAGCAGCCGCCGACGGAGCCCGGCATCCCCGCTCCCGGCTCGCTCAGCCGCCGCCGCCATCTTACTCCCTCCGTCGGGCTCGCGGCCTCCGGATTGGTCCGTCCCTCGCGCCCCGCCTCTTCCGCGTCCCTTCTCCCTCGTGGATTGGACGAAGGGCGGAGAGCTCCCGCAAAGGTTTCTGGCAAACGTAGTGCAATAGTTCCCCCCGGGTTTAAAGGGGCAGCGCCCGGTTTCGTCCGCCTCTGAAGTCCTCGACTTACAACTGACAGACTTTAGCAAGCGTAGCGGTGAAAAGGAAAGTAGGTGATACGTTAATTTGGAGAAAACACACACACACACCAGAATATAAACTGAGAGCAAATCCCACTCCTTATTAGCACTGATGATGTTACCTAGTTTGGGTAATGCGACCTCTGCCAGAAAACAAGCAAGCTCACAGAGCACCAAGGACCCTCAAACAATCT